TGTGACTTCACTTTAATGAATTGCACATTTCTATGATCTGCAGGGCACAAACAAATGGCATCCCACAATACCTGCAAGATGTCGAAGTTGTCAGAGTTACAGAAAGCCTGTACGTTTTTAGATATGATCAATTGCTTTGCCCAATTGATAGCATATTGGCTATCTGAGTGAATTGTTACGCTTACACCAACCGTGAGCGCCCTTGCTATTGCAACTAGCTCAGCTCTCTGGATGCTTGGTATTCCTGGAGGCTTTCCAGTCTCTAAAGTGCGGAAGGTATCCCCCCACATGCCATGCAGTTTTCCCATTCGTGCCGTATGGCACCTGAGCTCAGGGATTTCAAGGGTATCCCACACAACGGCATAGCCAGCATCTTGGTTAGCATAGGATCCATCGGTGTAAAGGTGGAAATTTTCACGGTTGTATGGGCATTCGACACGATGCGACGGCAAGCCACGGTTCAAACATATGGCCCTCCATCCTGCGCTGTGGCTACTAACAGGTACCCACGGTGCACGTGCATCGGCGTGGTTGAGAATTTCAATTTCGGGGAACTTTGCTCGGATGGGTTCACTAAGTGGGCATGTGAGAACCCTATGCTCCACCGTGTCTTCATTACCACAGTGTTCGCATTGGGATGTTTCATCTTTCCACATACTCACATGGTGTCGTGTCACAATACCACCTGCAAGATGAATTCGCAGCAGTGATTGGAGTTTGGGTGGGAATTCTGCAAGGAGCTTGCAGGTGAGGTCAATGTCTGGCACCGGAATGTCATTGAGTTGGGATCGCTGTGTGAATTCGTGCCATACATGTGTGTACCACGCCCTGTGGACAAAGTTGTCAAGTTGTTTGGGGCAGCAGGTGCAAATATTAATTCTTGACCCATCACTTGAGATCAGGTCAAGATCAGTATTAAAGTGGAGGTGAAGATTGCGAAGGTGCACATTGCAAACACTGGCAGGACCATATGTATGCATGGGGTCCACGCCCTGGTTTGCAAGGATTGCGACACTGCCGCTATAACGGGTCGGGTATCGGCATTGGGCTTCTCGAACCTTCTTTAAGGATTTTTTAACAAGGACAACCCCAGGGTCAAAAGCTCCTTTTTGTAGAGTCAGCATCATTATCTTGGGGTTCACTCTATGATGAGATCGGAACAAAGCATTCACCGAAGCAGTCCGTATCTTACAGACTTGTTGTTTACCGATGTAAATGATTTCGCTTCCATAGAAGCCAGCAGCAAATGCGTTACTTGCAAGTAGCTGGGCTTTATGGAGAGGGTTCATTGGTAATCCTTCAAGTTTTTGCGCACGTCTGACAAGTTCCTTTAGTCGTTCGGCAACAATACCGTGTCGGACGCTTTTCCTATATCTCATGTGGCCTCCCAGGTCGCGGGCGGCGTTATTGACAGGAAAGGCTATGTCCTGATTCTCCTTTGTCATGCTTTGGGTGGACCAGACCCATGATTTTTGCGCGTCCAATTTGAGGTGCCACACCTTACAAAATTTTGACATCACTTCGATGGATTCCTTCACCTGCGCAACTGAGTTGGTCGTGATTTCAAAGTTGTCAACGTAGATTATTGGTTTAGTTGCCGTTTTAGATTTGAGGTGATACACGAGCCAGCCTCCCAAAATTGCAGCAGCAATGACAGAAAAAGGGCACCCTTGAGGGATACCCTGTCTGGACAGGTGCGGTACTGAGTGCGCCTTGTTGATCACCACAACTCTTTTAAGCTGTGTCAACAGGCTCATCCAGCTTTGGATTAACTTTGGATGAAGCCCTGCGGCTTGTAGTAGATTACCTAGAGCAGCGCGTGGTATGGAGTTGAAGAATTTCTGTACATCTGTTACGGCACCAAAAAGTACCTGGTCGTCAAGAAGTGCTTTTTCGATGGTAAACTGCAGCTGATGCCATACAGCATCTGCCGAACGTCCGGGCACACCGCCACGGACTTCAGCGGGTAGTCTATATGCTAATTGTCTTAACATCTCCCGCGCAACTGCTTTGGCGCTTACTCTATAGAGTAGCCCGAGTATGGTGATGGGCCTGCCTGATGAAATATCAACAGGATTGGCATGCTTCGACGGGATCACCACTCGTGCAAACTGAAGGGCGGCCGGCCAAGGGAGGGAACAGTCAAGCATTCGATTGAAGATCCCGCACCACTCTCCAAGGATTTCATCTGGCAGCATTGCGAGTTCCGGTTGAGTCCATCCATCTGCACCCTGGCTAGTGTTGGTTTTGGTGTCTTGTATACTCTGCTTTAGTGCTTCGACCTGGATGGTCGCGCCTCCTTCAATTTTCCACTGCTCTGGGTAGCATTCAAAATCGACATAACTGAAGTCGCAAGGGTCCGGCGATGGCCACTCAAAGCCCCAAAATTTCTCCCAATATTTAAAGAAGAGCCGGTGGAGGTTCTCATGGTCATATCGCCATCGGTGGATCTGTGCCTGAATTTTTGGTTCTGCACTGGGTTTTGGGAGGGTAAAAAGATTTCTACCCTCATTCATTCTTTTCAATGGTTGACCTTCATATATTACCAGGTCTTCGCAAGCAAGTTCATGTTTTTGTAGCTTATATACGGCACCCTGTTTGTTTCGGGTTCTAGTCAATCTGAGTTCAGTGTCAACTCTCTCAAGGACACAGGTGATTGGCGGGTTCTGAAGTTTTTTCAACAAGCCATGTGCTCTGCGGTTACCCTGAGTTTTCCGAGATGTTTCAAGTTCTTCCTTAAAAGTAGCTTTTTTGTCTTTCTTTATCTGGGCACAATGTATATCCATGTGGGATTGCACTCCCATTTTCAGATCTTCAATTAATTCGCTTGTGGGTACACAAGGCCACACTTGTACATTGCAGTTATGCAATGCCCACACGGGGAAGTTGGGGTGGAATCCCGCTGCTTTATTGATTGCACACCAATCGGCAATGCAGGCCGGTTCGTGTTGCTTGGCATGCTTTAACATTCTCATCATACTTTCAAGTCTTCTCATTTGGCGGACTAGCTGCTTGAAGAGTACAGTGCTGCACTCATGTGATGGCACGTAGTCCCCTGGTCTGGGGATTTTGGGCCAGTACTGAAATTACTCAATCGGTAGGTAGGCTCTTTGCCTCTTCCTTTTTGATTACTCTTACACTTAAGCTGATGGGATTGATTGAGTTGTTTAGATATGGCCCATTCAACTGCTTGTGACCACTCGACAAGTGGGTCACTATCTGGATTTTGGAATGAACAATTTTGAGTATTCACCCGTTCGTAAAACGATCCAGCAAGCTGAGAGGGATCAATTGTCTGCAGCTGGGCCTGGGAGAGCGGGCGCGGTAATTTCCAAACTGGCACTGCTCTTCGAATTTTTGGCACAGATAGTGCGATTGTGATTGGATGATGCTGTGCGAAAGCGTGGTCCCTAGAGACCGTGATGTCACGAACGGCATCAACGAGCCCATGTGAAAGAAAGGCAATATCGTTTCTGGTGCTCTCCTGATAGGTGGGGAGAGTAGTTTTTCCCAAATTTTTCCAGGCATAGAGTATGGGCTTCTTTCCACCCAAGATTTCGGAGATTTTCCCACTCTGGCATTTGGCATGGGGTATCATTGAAGTCACCAGCAATGATGGTGTGTCCGCCCCAGGTGAGGGCCCTTTGCACACAGTATGCCATCAAAGCCCGGTTATTATGATTGCAAACGGAGGATGCGTGGCTACCCCCTTTGGGGTGCAAGTAGACACACAGGATTAGAATTTGGATGTGTCCATACCTGATTATGCACTCCACGATGCGAGTACTTGCCCACAGGCTGGTATCTTTCACTTCCATGCATTGACGGGCGTGGGAATCCGTCACAATTCCCACGCCCCCATAGGTGGGCTTACTTTGGTTTTTCTTATCATCCTTAGTGCGACAGCTACTGCTATGGAAGAGTTGTGCATTAGATTTACGGCACTCCTTTTGAGCGTATTCGATAGTCGTGTTGCACGCCGATGTTTCTGCAATGCACACAGTTCCTGGGAGAAATTCCAACAAGTCAGGCATGGTCTGCCTCAGGCGGGTAACATTGATAACCGTGATTTGCACGTGTTCATGGTTTTTCTCCTGATCATCTCTTGGTTGCACAAACTGTGCATCTTGTGACTTCGAGGGTCCAGGGTTTTTTGCTTCCCCTATTCTGCAATTTGCCTGTGGGGTAAACCACAGCACGGTGTTAACGGCTTGCATTGGAAGAAGTCCCCTTTCTTCCGTACGAATTAAATGATTGGAAATCTTTCTGGGGAGAGGGGTATTCAGAATGTCCCTCTCGCAGTTGTTTGCCCTCACGATGTACGAGGCGTTTTGTGCTGCGGTTCGTGCGGTTCCTTGCTTTGGAGCATGGCCTGGAAATTTGCAATCAGCTGGCTGTTCTGCGCTTCCAGTGCATTTTTCAGTGTGACGTCAAAATTTTGGTGACTCTGTGTTATAGCTTCACGCGTTTGTTGTTGCAGTTTGGTGATCTCACCTGCAAGAGTGATGGAAGCTGCACTGTTTTGATCAAGCTGTGTCTTGATCTCAGTATGATTGTTCTGGTTCCTGCCCTTTTCTTGCTGCATCTCAGTTTGCATGGCTTGCAGCTGTTGCATGGCGGCTGCAAGCTGGTTTTCAATTTTCTCAATTTTTTGGTCCTGGGCTGTAGAGTTTGGCTGGTTGGGCCGGTGCCGGTGTGAACCCTTGTTGACGCACTCGTAGTTGTTCCTTGGTTGCGTAGCGCTGAAGCCCATGGGTCTGCCTGCTGCAGGATGTCAACTACATCGTCCTTGTGGTCTGTGCTTGATTGGGCACTTATCCACTTCCTGCTCCCTGCGACTACAGTGGCTTGGGTCATCCCACGGACCTTTGGGTCATTTGCAGGTTGGATAACAACACTTTTAGTGGTTTAATGGAAACCCAAGCAAAATGCTCCCAAGAAAAAACACACACACACACCAGCACCCTCCAAAAGTAGTCCATTTGTAGCTGCCGTCTGGTTCAGCTGGGGATACTCCTTGGGCCAAAAGCCCCCTGCGCCGGGACTCGTAGCCGGCGAGCAGGGTGAAAACGATGATGCCCAGTGCAAAGATGTCCACGGCGCATCCGTAGTCCTGGAGACATCCCGGCCGTCGGCCGGTCGGAAGGAGGCCTACTTGTTTCCCGTTCCTCTTTGGATTTGTCTCAAAGTAGAGGAACCCAAAAAAGGGGGTGGTTTCCTGTTGGTTCCCTGTAAAACCAACCCAACAAGGCTTTCAACTCCAAAAAAAAGGAACCACAAGAGTCTAACACTGCTGATGAAGCTGTTAATGAAAGGAAGTAAATGCCAACTCAACTGGTTCCATTTCACCCAAGACTCAACATCAAGACAAAGGAACCCCTACAAAGCTGTGACTCTATGTTCTTTTTCTGTTTCCACTGAAAATCCAAGCAAAAAACAAAGAGCCCCCAAAATGCGCTGTCCTTGAAAAAAAGGAAAAAAAACGGGGCGCCTTCCTTCCGGTCAACCCGCCCAGACCCAAACCCCCACCCCCTCCTGTTCATGCAGGATCTCTGGGGCGATGAAGCCATGGGAGCCCTGCATGCCTCGGTCCGAGACGCTCGCACCACGGGGCTTGGCGGCGGATGTTTTTTGCTTTTTGTGTGGAGATGCTACACCTCTCGGAGATTAATTTGCGATGGGGGTACCCAAAAAAGAGTACTTACAGGGGGAAGAACATGTGAAATCACAAAAAACAACTCTAGGATATGAAAAGAGTACGGAAAAAAGCACACAAAAAACAGTACTTACAGGGGAACAACAGGTGGAATCATCCACAAAAGGCAAGTTCGGCTGTTCATACTGTGGAATAGACGAATTCCCTTTTCGCGCCATCTAACAACATGATTCCCCAACGCAAATACGACAACAAACAGTAGTTTCAACCATGGTTTCAACATGGTGCGAACGAATATCGTCCATCCACAGTACTGATAACCTTCTGAACCACCTTCACAGCAACTTGAATCACAATACCTGCTAAGTTCTGCATGTGTTATTGTTTTGTGCGTGTGCTGTGCGAATCACAGGCAAAATAGATATGTTATGACCCGGCAAAGGCCAGTCGAGAGCCAAAGGCGAGCCAACTAGCCACCCGTGCTGGGCGATTCCACCCCCTGCTTACAAATGCGTAAACACTTATTTTGTAGGCACCCTCACTCAGGCGTGGCCAGTGAGGCCTTTGTTTTCTGCAAACCAACATGGAACCCAAAAAGTGGCACCTGAGATTCGGGGATCACGGGTCCTCCAAAAAGTCACTTTCATGTTCTGCCTCGCAAGCGCTTTATTTTGCATTGTTCCCCAAAATACACATTTGCCTTATTGATGATAAGCCAGCAACCTGGAAATGACAAGCAGACCGCCAACCTGGTGACATCAACCTCGTCACCTCTCTCAACCAGGGCAGCGGAGAACTCTGGAGCCTCCGCCCCGACCTCTTGGCGAAGGAAAAGTTTCGGGGGCTGGCGGTTGCGGCTCCGGGATTTGAAGGGTTTGGTGTCAAGCAAAAAGCCGCAGCCAACGAACAGATGAACAGGGTGTCAAGGGGAACAAATGAACACATGAACAGCAAAAGGGTTTGGTTTGGTGTCAAGGGGAATCGAGCAGGGTGTCAATGAATGATGGGGCGCGACTCGCGGCTTTTCGCCATCAGTTCCGAACTTGGTCGGTTTCAGAGTGGTGTCGCCAATGCCAAGACGTGCCGGGTCCGAATCTCGTTCGGACAAACCTGAAGAAAAAAAAGGATACCAAAAAAACCACAGTTTTGACAACCCCCAGAATTAGGCCTTGTAAGGGTCTAAGTTTTGGGAGGGCGATCGAATCCTAGGAGGTGTCCAAATGCGCTCCGATGCACTCGGCGCAGTTGAGACTCGGGAGGTCGTTCCTGTGGATGGACAAAATCCGTTCGCACCACTTTGAAGCCATGCGAAAACCACTCTTTGTTGGTATTTCCAGGGGGTTCATCATTCCAGGGTTTCTTAGGTGTTGCAGGATTTAGTCCAAACACAGTATCTTCAGCTCCACCAAACATCACCTCTAAACGGAGACCAATTCAAAATGGCCCAGAAAAGCGCAGTTGAATCACCCAGGCCAAGGAAAAAACTGCACGCAGTGCGTGCTTCTTCTGGCGCTCCCCACGCATCCCTCCCCTTCATTCCGCGCCCGCCCCCCTTCCCTGCCTATAAACTTGCAGAGGAAGGGCGCCTGCGGAGCAACATCGGAAGGCAGCTCCAGTGTCCCATCCTTGCCATCCCTCCAACCCTCTTTACGGATTGTGCCTCAATATGTCCTCTGGATGAGAGGAGAACGGAAACTCATTCTGTGAGGAATCTCTATGACTACTGGTGGCCCCTTGCTGGAGAGTCGTTTTTGTGGAAGGCACAAGGTCACAAGGAGGCCAAACCCCATGTCCAGGGGCCTGTTTTTTATGAAACACCCGAATGAATCGATGACCCTTCCTATGAAAACCCTGCAAAAGCGGGGGCCTTTTTTTAAGAGGGCACCGTTGTTTTGGGGTGGTTTTGAAGAAAACTGAAGGAAGACTCTAAGTTTTGAGGGGTCCCCTATTTCAAGACATACCCAAATGGCTCTGGGTCTGTGCCAATGCATCCTATTTTTACCACCCCCCCCCTCCCAAGAAAGCACCTGCCAAATGCCAAATGGGTCGGGCTCAAGAGGGAGAGCAGGAAACAGCCTGCCGTTAAGGATCCATCCCATCTTTCCATTCGATACATTGTCACACTGTGGATGGACAAAATCCGTTCGCACCGCTTTGAAGCCATGCGAAAACCACTCTTTCTTGGTATTTACAGGGGGATCATCATTCCAGGGTTTCTTAGGTGGTGCAGGATTTCGTCCATCCACAGCATGAATACATGTTGCGCCTCTGTTAATTTTAGCTGTGTTATTGTTAAAAACAAAACAAACAAAACAAAACAAAACAAAACAAACAAACAAGCAAACAAACAAACAACCAAACAAACAAACAAAAAAAGCAAGCCGTGGCCTTCTTTTTCCCGCATTCCACGAGGCTTACCTAGAATCTTGCTCATGTCACACTCAAATATCTACCCCAGCCACCCTGACTTTTTCGGGTCGATTTCTCGCGCAAGAACTCGCCTTGCGCGGGCATTCTCTTGCGAGGCCGAAGTCGCCGAGCTGGGCCACGAACCTGGACCACCCATTGACCTCTCAGTTGCCCCTTAGGAACCCAGAAACAAAAGGTTAAAAGGATCGATTTCGGCCAAAGGACCCAGAAACTTTTGGGGCCATGACTAATGGATCGAAATCGGAAATCCAAAAGGCTAAAAGGTCGATTCGCTTTGGGCAACTGAGAATTGAGTCCTAATCAAAACCCGGTACAAAAATGGTCGTAATCCCAGAACCAGGCTTCAAGAATTAAGAAGGCGGCTGCAACTCTTTCTGGCTGGGACTGCCCCTGACTAACCTTCACACGGGTATTGATTGTGGCTCGACTTGCCTTCGCCTGGACTCCAGAAGGGAAATCCTCTGTCCCAAAGATGGCGGATGAACCGCTTCAAGGTCCCTTACTTGGGAGTTCCATATGTCAGTTGTGGGATCTTTGGCCCGGAACAATGGCTGCTGAGATGATTTTACATGTTGCGCGCCAATTGCGGACCAGCAAATGCATGCATGAGGTTCAGCTGGGGTTGCTCAAGCTGAGACAGATAGGAGGGACTTCTTTTCCTTCGGGCTTCCGTCCCATGGGGCTCAAGACAGGGGAACCCTTTTTGGATGGGAAAGGGAAAAAGGCAAGGAAACACAAGGCTCCTCCACCCGCATAAAATTGTGTCAAGGGTTAAACCAAGGCCTGCGCGGGTCTGTCTCAAAATGTGTCCGTGTTTTTGGTTGGTACTCTTCACTTAGGTCCTTTCCTTAAAGCTGAAGGTAAAGCCACCACTGTTCAGTTTTTTGGGCTGGTCCGAAACAAATCGGTTGATCAGGTTGGTCCGAGTCCATATGTGTCTGTGTTTAAGCAGAATGCGGCCTCCCCCCCCTCCTCCCAAGAATCCGAAAAAGGAAACTCAGAGAAGGTGGTTGCAAAATAGACCCTATTGTCCGCCAAATACACCCACAATATATTTCATTTGGTTCTCCTTTGGCTTCCCTTTAATTTAAACTCCAGTGTCACGGTCATGGAGCCTCCAAAACTTACCCCTCCGCCGCTTAGGCTCCCCAGCCCCTCGGCAGCAGTTGGCACCAGGAAGATATTCCTCGGCTTCACATCTCCGTGAAGGACGCACTTGTCCTGAAGCACCGTCCATTGATGTCGACACTGGACATCATTAAAAGAAATCCGGAGGGAAAATCCACCAAAAAGTCGGGGTGTTGGGATTGATGGGTGGGGAAATTCACCAAAAAGTTTCGGGGTGTTGGAATGAAACCCTTTGGGGAGTTTCTAGGAAACCATGAGGATGGTCCAGTTGGGCTCAGTCCCTTCTGAGAACCCAAAAAATCCGTAAAAGGAACCTTCTGCCGAAGAAGCAGCCTTCTTGTTCAGGGGATGCCAAAGAAAGAAGCAGAAGCACAAGGCGTTGTGGAAAATCACAAGAAACTGTGGATGGACAAAATCCTGCACCACCTAAGAAACCCTGGCATGATGATCCCCCTGTAAATACCAACCAATGGTTTTCCCATGGTTTCACAATGATGCGAAATGGATTTCGTCCACCCACAGTATGATACCAAAGTGCACCATCCTTGTTGGCACTTGAAACGGGGGTTCCTCTTTTCCACATGGCACAAGCACAGGCTCAGACGAGAATGGTCGTCCTGCCTTTTGCCTTTTGCCTCACTCCCTTTGTTCCCTTGGAAAGTTGGCAGAGGATCCCACGATGGAATCCACCAGTCTCGCAGGTTTCGGAAACCCGTGTGGGCGAAAACCCGGCGATTCCTGAGTCACTGATGCTCTTGTCTGTCCAAGAGCAAACACAAGACAAGGTTTCTGAAGGGCACCACTTCTCCCTATGGGCGCGCCTTTTTCTGGGGACCTCAAAAGGGTGGTTCTCCTTTTGGTTCCCTTTAGAACCACGAATGGATACCCTCAAAAAAGACGCACCTACATCACGGGAATAGTACCAAGAGCTCGGATCTATGCGCCGATGGATTGCCTCCCGCGAAGAACCTCCGGGCAAGCAAAGAGCTAAGAAAAAGGCCGCACTGAAATCAGGAGGATGGCTCGTATTTCGGGCCAACATATCTCCAAAATGTCAAGACCTTGATTCGCTGGCTCTCCCTCTCTCCCTCTCTCTCCCCTTTTAGCAAGGCTGCAGCTCTCCTTCACAAGTTGGGAACCTTTGGATCTCAGCCGACCCAGCTGAGCCATCTCCCACCCAGCCGCTGTCCTGGTGAAGATACCTCAGACCTGCGCGCGGGAAGAAGCTTCTTCCCTTACGCATGATGGGCTGCTATTGTGGTAGGGCACGGTGATGCAGGAAAATGCTGGAAAACGCAGGAAAATGCGGGAAAACACAGGAAACTGTGAAATGATGCGACAATGTCGATTGATGTGGAAAAATGGAGGTGATGCAGGTGATGCGGGCGATGCAGCCGATGCACGTGATGCAGGTGATGCAGCTGATGCAGCTGATGCACGTGATGCAGGTGATGCAGATGATGCAACTGATGCCGGTGATGCAGGTGATGCGAGTCATGAAGGTGATGCAGGTGATATAGGTGATATAGGTGATGCAGGTGATGCGAAAGCATTCAAGGCACACAAGACGGCAACCCAAACAGTAAGCCATGATGCATGATGTTGGTGATGCGAGTTGCGCGTCTTGGGGTTACACCTCCGCTTGACATTGCTTCAGCTTGGTTGCCCTTGGACAGAAAGGCGGTGGCATTGTCCATGTTGGACTCTTCCCACTCCATGCGGTCTGACCTTCTAGCATGCATATGTGTGTGTTTGACACGAGGAAGAACAGAAAAAGAAAGAAAGAAAGAAAGAAAGAAACAAAGAAAGAAAGAAAGAAAGAACGAGCGCAAGAATGCAGGCAAACAACAAAACAAGAAAGAAAGAACGAGCGCAAGAATGCAGGCAAGCAAAGAAAGCAAGAAAGAAAGAACGAGCGCAAGAATGCAGGCAAACAACAAAACAAGAAAGAAACAACGAGCGCAAGAATGCAGGCAGGCAAGAAAGCAAGAAAGAAAGAACGAGCGCAAGAATGCAGGCAAGCAAGAAAGCAAGAAAGCAAGAACGAACGAGCGAAGAATGCAGGCAAGCAAGAATGCAAGAACGCAAGAACGCAAGCAAGCAAGAAAGCCAGCAAGCAAGAAAGCAAGAAAGAAACAACGAGCGCAAGAATGCAGGCAAGCAAGAAAGAAAGAACGAGCGCAAGAATGCAGAGGCAAGCAAGAAAAAAAGAACGAGCGCAAGAATGCAGGCAAGCGCAAGAATGCAGGCAAGCAAGAAAGAAAGAACGAGCGCAAGAATGCAGAGGCAAGCAAGAAAAAAAGAACGAGCGCAAGAATGCAGGCAAGCAAGAAAGCAAGAAAGAAAGACCGAGCGCAAGAATGCAGGCAAGCAAAGAAAGCAAGAAAGAAAGAACGAGCGCAAGAATGCAGGCAGGCAAGAAAGCAAGAAAGAAAGAAAGAAAGAACGAGCGCAAGAATGCAGGCAAGCAAGAAAGCAAAAAAAAAGAAGGAGCGCAAGAATGCAGACAAGCAAGAAAGCAAGAAAGAAAGAACGATCGCAAGAATGCAGGCAGGCAAGAAAGCAAGAAAGAAAGAACGAGCGCAAGAATGCAGGCAAGCAAGGAAGCAAGAAAGAAAGAACGGGCGCAAGAATGCAGGCAAGCAAGAAAGCAAGAAAGAAAGAACGAGCGCAACAATGCAGGCAAGCAAGAAAGCAAGAACGCAAGAACGCAAGCAAGCAAGAAAGCCAGCAAGCAAGAAAGCAAGAAAGAAACAACGAGCGCAAGAATGCAGGCAAGCAAGAAAGAAAGAACGAGCGCAAGAATGCAGGCAAGCAAGAAAGCAAGAAAGAAACAACGAGCGCAAGAATGCAGGCAAGCAAGAAAGCAAGAAACAAAGAACGAGCGCAATAATGCAAGCAAGAAAGAAAGAACGAGCGCAAGAATGCAGGCAAGCAAGAAAGCAAGAAAGAAAGAACGAGTGCAAGAATTTCTAAGAATGCAGGCAAGAAAGAAAGAACGAGCGCAAGAATGCAGGCAAGCAAGAATGCAAGAACGCAAGAACGCAAGCAAGCAAGAAAGCCAGCAAGCAAGCAAGCAAGAAAGAAGGCAAGCAAGAAAGAAAGAAAGAAGGAAAGCAAGGAATTCGACCAGGAAAAGAGGGGGGAATGGCAGAATCGAAGAATGGAAGAATGGATTCATCCAGCATTGCACCCCAGCTGCCCCAGGGCACAGGCCCAATGCAGGCGTGCCATTCAATTTTGGGTCCAAAAGAGAAAAAGCGGCTTGGTCATTGATGGGCTTGGAGAGACGAACCAATCCACACCTTTCTCTGACAACCAATCAAGAAATGGACCCCACCAAGGGGGGAACCCTGCATGAGTCAGGTCGCAAACCGCGCAACACAAAGTGAGATGGGTATCATGTGCCGGAGATTCTTTTTGGGCCTTGGGAAACGAAAGCCACAAAAAAAAAAGCCCCGGCGGGAGGTTTCAACTAGGCCGAGAGGCCCCACGCCAACTCTTCGGAATGATCTCACAGAGTGGCCTTCCCAAAAGAACACCGACCGGGGGTCCTATGCGCGCATGGATTCTTCCAATCCGCAAGCTGAATTTAAGGGCATCCCGCACCGGCTCAAGCCTACTGAGCCACACGAGTCCAACTCGGGAAGTGAAGCTAGGCAAGGAGGTGATACCAAAGTAGGATTCCCATCCAACTGTCTCACAGGGAGAGGGAGTTGATCAAAATTCATGCAGTGGATGGACAAAATCCCGCAGTCGGTGGTTTATCAACCATTCAGGCATCTTAACTATGTGGCTGTTTCCGACATGTATCCAACAAGGTGTGTATCCGTTTGGTTCCCCTTTAAAACCACAAAACGGGAGCTCCCCCCCCCCAAAGAAAAAAGAAGAAGAAGAAAAAAAGCACCTGCCCAAAGCCCGTAAGCCCGTCCCAACAATTTCCTCAACTCAAATGGGTGGGTTCCCTTTAGCTCCCTTTTGCTTCCTTTCCTTTGGCCCCGACGAGCCGCCCGCCCTGAAAAATCGCGTTGGAAGCCGATCTATCGACGAGATAGAAACAAACGCACACGCCTTGCAGCAGCTGCGAGCAAAGCCGCGCGGCCTGAAACGGCCGCTGGAGGTTCAGGGGGTTTCGGGGACTACACTTGGACTCAGTGGGTTTACGGGTACCCTTGTTGGGGCCGTTTCACGCCCCACCAGATTTTCCTGGAAGGCACATGTTGGGTGAACTGCCATTTTGGGCCCCCCCCCCCTTCCCCACCCCCGACCTGACACATCACATTTTTTGGACATGTTTATGTTGGGTCCTTGGAGCCGCCAGCTCCCTCGCGTGCCTGCCTGACCCCAGTTTCGGGGGTGTTGAGCACATATCCAGAAAGCAAGTGGTTGCCAACCAGCACATACCAGCTTCCAATTGGCTGTAACCCCAAAATGGGTTGCCCTGGAAAATGCAACCAAGGACTAAAACCTGTGGTCCCATGGCGGTTGAACATTGATCCATACCCAATTCTTCTCCACATGCTTTATGTTTGTTCATCGTATCGACGTGGTCGACCCAACAACATTGCACCAGGCAGCAAAGCACAATTTCAAACAGCAATGAAACGCAAAACTCCAAAATGGAAACCGGAAGGAGCCCTTTTTTGACATCTACATGTCTTGCTAGGCGGTGCGGATGACATGCAGATTACATCATAAACTGCAAACTGCTCTCGCGTGTATCCCACTCACCACGCTAGTGGAACATCAATGAACATCAATGTGAGTATAATAATTCGCCCCCCGAACTCACCGAAAGGGGGGGGGCAAATAAAGAAACCCTTCGGCGAGGTTACGGGTTCGATTTGCCAGATCCAGCAAGTACAAACAGACACGGGCATCTTCCTTCAGGGTATGGCCGTGACTCATTCCCTTGAGGAAATGGGTGTGGTTCCTTTGTTTCCTGGGTACCCTTTCTCGTGGTGTTTTACAGGGAAACCAGCAGGACACCACCCATTCTTGGGGGTTCCCTAGTTTGAGAAAAACAAATCAAGCTGCTCGCGGGCTCGAAATGCGGGGAATAGGCAATGGCCCCAGACAAACCCAATTGACGCAGTGAGAGGATGCCAGACTGTTGAACCCGTCCGATGCTCAATCCCTTTCCCTGCACTTGCCCTTGGTTCTTGGGCTGCACGTCTCGATCTGGTCCAATTGCCTTTTGATCTCGTTGGGGTCCTCCTTTTAAGTCCAATCAAAGCAAACCAAAAACCAGGGGCCCCACTGATCGCAAGTTCAAGGTCAGGCGCCAGAAAGATGGGCGTTTTTGGAGGTTGGCCGCGTCCCAAAAAGGTGCTACTTCTCGAAAGAAGAGCTGCGCGTCAGGTCAGGTCAAAGATGCCAGATGAGTGTCAAGTCTTGCAAGCCTAGCCGCCATCTATTTGTATAGCAGTTCTTGACCGCCTTGACTTGGACAGGTATTTCCTCCCAAGACTCGATGTCTGCCAAATAGCAAGAGCATGCAAGGCTAAACACCCAGCGCATGGCTTGCAAGACACAGAGCCATGCAACCTTGTACAAGGTGTGAAGTCGATGTTGCAACCATCCACATGGCTGTTTCCCTGGCTCCCTTTCTCTTGACTCTTGAGTGCCCGACTCTTGAGTGCCCTAAACAGCCCCTCCACATCGCCCGAGGGCCGTAAAGAAGAAAAAGAGCACCTGAGTCACAATCACCCGGCATTAAAATGGTTGACCCAAAACCATGTGTAAGGAAATACGAAGGCGGATATCCGCAACAATTTATGGCTGGGATTGTCCCTAACCTTCGTCTTCCCAGGTTTTGAGCACGTGGCTCAATTCCAGGTGGGGAAATCCACCAAAAAGTCGTCCGATTTTCAATTCTCCGGCTTTCAAAACCTGTTCCCTGTTATTGTGGCTCACCTGGTTCCCCGATTTTCAACCTTCGGCAAACCGGCGAGAAGCGGCGAGTAGAGTTGGTCTCTCGCCTGCATCTCCACGAGCATGTTGCAGTGCCCTAAGGCCTCGAATCGGCCGAGCTCACAGAGCTGTGGCTGGTGGCGAAATCCGTTCGCACCACCTATCAAACTGAGACTAAAACAATAATGTTTGTTGGTATTTACAGGGAAATTAGATCATTCCGTTGGGTCTCGGAACGGTGGTGTGAAACGGATTCTGTCCAGGATTCATTCACAAAGCTCCCTGGAGCTTTAGTTTCTGGCAAATGTTGACTGAGCTTCTGGTTGGGTCCGAGACCATTCCGCGTAAAGCCTTACTACATTTTACTCAGCTTCCCTCCAAATTGGTGGTTTGGATTAGTGGTTTGGTGGTTAAGGAGGTTTCCCATTTACCCTAGGGGTTCAAATCCCAATCTATCAATAAGGCGGTACTTGATTTACCATGCCCGACCAAAGGGCAAAAGGGTCCTACACTCCGGCACAACCGCTTTCCCCCATCAGTCTCGCTGAAGGAAACCTGGGCAAGCTGCAGATTGAACTCAAAACACGGAAATCACGCTTTCCCACATGGGAACAACGAACACGCACACAACCAAGGTCATCATGCCATGACGCGCCGGGTGATTTTCAAGGCTCACCCTTCTTGATTTCAATGCGCCTGCCAATGATTTCAGCTTTTCTCAGTGAAACACTGTGGTTCTAGAGTTCCCCCAAACTAATGTTTTTTCAGAGAAAACACCCTTAATTTGACATCATCTCCATTTGGGCTCCATTTGGGTTGCGCGCTGCAAACATTGAGCAAATCAGATCACACCACGTCTGGCTTTTTTGCAGCTGCCAAAGGCAAAGGCAGCGCCCCGCGAGAACGCGAGACATAAGAGACCCACGAAGACCACAGAATGCGCTGATCATCACACAGTGCACGAAAGTCAATTGGAGAACGGTCAGGCATCGCAGAAGCAGCAATCACAAAATCCAAAACTGGATCTCACACTGAAACAGCAGCAAAGGCATCAATGTGCTGATTCAGGAAAAAAGGGTACGCACGCCAAACAGACAATAGAGCCGGTGAGCGGCTCGGCGGCGGTACCTTAGCAATGCGCGAAAGCAACACCAAAGACAAGCAAAGAGACACCGCGCGAGGATTGTACATTGCTGAACACGCCCTGAGAGCCAGCGATGCAACCGGAAACCTCTTTGACAACACGACAAAACAAGCCGACGTGAGGCTGAGATGCATGAATTTGTTCTCATGCGGCGCAGTGAACACGTGTGCTCAACACGATGAAAGGAGCCGACATGAGGCTGAGATGCACAAATTTGTTCTCATGCGGCGCAGTCAACGCGTGTGCTTATTCCCCCCCCCACCCCCCCAACAAGCAGGACAAACAAACAAACAAACAAACAACGAAACGACAAAACAGACAAACAAACGAACGAACGAACGAAACAACGAAACAACGAAACAACGAAACAACGAACGAAACAACGAAATAACGAAACAGACAAACAAGAAAAACGCAAGGCACAAACTCCTAAGACTACGGCGCAAGAACCCCTCCGCCTTCCGCTTCCCTTTGACCCACCCGGACTTTTGCTTCCGAGGCTCCGCATAGAGGTCGCCCCCCGCGGCAAAAGGCATCACCAGCAGCACCTCTGAGGTCCGAAGTGCTTGCGATGTGGATGGCTGCGAAATCCATTTCGCATCATTTTGAAACCATGGGAAAACCATTGGTTGGTATTTACAGGGGGAATTCATGCACCACGATGAGAACCTATGCGGAAACCATAACGTTTGTTGGTATTTGCCAAAGAATCAGCATTCCAGGGTTTCTTAGGTGGTGCGAAATGGAGTTCGTCCATCAACAGTAGGTAGGGAATGGCAACGAGGCCGGGTGTTGGGAATGAACCGGAGAGGGGATTCCCGAATAGGAGGAAACCAAATCGGATGGATGGTTTATAAGGGCTATTCCAACTCATTCCCTGCCTACCGAAGCGGCAGAACAAGATGCATCGGTATGGCTCCTCGCTTTCTGAGCGAATTCGCCAAAAAATCGCTGAGCTGTTTGTCTGCCACTAAGGGTCCAAGGCCCAAAAAGTGATATTGAAGTTCAGAAGCTCCGGAATTGAGTTTATGACGAGTCATGCACATCCCAGCAATTCGCTCTGCACGCGCCCCGCCTCGCTCGGGGTCTCCGCTGCGTACAGGAGGGGACTCAGGGCGTGTTCCGAGGCGGAAAGTTGGCAAAAGAGGAATCGGAACACGAAAATGGGAATGGTGCCCTTTGTATGGTGGCAAAAAACGCAGCCCCCCACTAAAGATGAACACAACCAAAAAACCTAAAATCATGCCAACAGCTGTGAAGCGTCCTTCTTGCCACCAAAAGGGTGTGCCCTCAAAAAAGACAGACCCTGGCAGAAGTTGGCAGCAGGCGCTTCAAACTCTGTCAAACTAAGAGGACCGTCCAAGTGGCTAGATTCATGTGCTTGACCAGAGTGTGCGGAGTGATGTGTTTTTTTTGGCAAATGGGAACTGATGGAAACCCAAATGACCAACAGGCAAAAAGGCGTGCTACGTTGGAGTCCATTCCCACAAACGAGCCAATCCCCTGCCATATTTAAGTCTTGCAATGTTCACATGCCCTTCTTCAATCTTGCCAGAACACACGGTGGGTCTCTGGTACGTACAAGGCGCCCTTTGCCCCCAACAAGGCTGAAACCTCCGGATGCTTCGGAAGGGGTCCAATGAGGCGCGAAAGCTAAACTCTTTTTTGCGGGCCATCGTCGCTGGGCAACCCTTTTCAATCATACTTAACTCAAATCCTGAGTGGATGGCCCAGAAAAAGTCCAACTTTGGCTGCTTTCCACTCAAATGATCCAAACCCAAAAAGTGTCAAGTCCATGAACTCAGGAAGTGAGCTCCTGTTCAAACATCCTGGAGTTCGTTCAAGCAATCAGCTACTTCACAGTCCGGAAAGCGCTCAAGCTCCTTGTAGTTGGTTTTAAGGGGAAGTCAAAAGGAAAACAAAAGCCATTTGGGTGGTCCCCTGATTTCTATACAAACCTATTTTGGGTGTGGCTAAATTAGCCTGTTGACCGATGGAAACGTCCCACCGAGCTCCCCGCACAATGTGGTCATGCGTCAGCTTCTGCTGTATTCTGATCTCCTGCCGCAACTCAGCTCACATTCCAAAAGAGGTCTCAGTGCGCGAGGGAAAATGTTGCGCATCCGAATGGATTTGGCTCCAAATCAGCTTTGGTGTCCTTTTGGCTTACCTTTTGAAGCAGACCTAACAAGGGGGTACCAGGAAAACCAGACCCAAGCCACAATAATTGGATGACCAATTCGTTGAATCGGTGCAATCACACATGGGTTCCGAGATCACATGCGACACCCCTGATTGTCCTGCGCAAGCGCTCGGAAGCCGTATATTAGAACCCGTTCAACTGGTGCCTAAATAACCCAGAAAGACACCCCCGCATGCTTTAAAAGTTTTGCGCCAAAATGAGTCAGGGCTCCCTTTCCACTTGAAACATCACTCCAACAAAAGAAAGCTCACTTTGCGGGGAAATTTAGGGAACGAAGTAAGCTCAACTCGCTTTCCGGGGGGGCCGAGGCGCGGAACCGCGGAACCCCGGAACAGATTCCCCGCAAACGTGGAACCGAAGAACGGCAGGAGAGTCCTCTGCTCCTTGGGTTCCCGTGCACCCGGCATCGACCAATTGGGGGTCGATATGTTGCCCTTTCGACCCCAGTTTGTTTCTAGTCGTTGATTTCAACGATAGTCTCAGAATTTCCAGAATGGCTGGTTCCCATGTTTTCCCTTCAACCAAAACATCCGCCTTGCGGGTGCCCTCAAAAAAGGAAGCACACCCCAAGTCACTTCCTAAGCCGACTGGCCAAAACGAGCCGAACCTTTGAATTTACGGTCCAAGCCCCGAAAGTCCCAAGCCCATGTCATGGAGTGAGCTAACCAGCTAACCTTCTGTCAGCGAACAGAAGGACGTGTCTTCAGTTCCTCCAATCGGTTCCCGAAATCCAAATGGACGCGCTCAACCGGACCGCACTCCTCCCGCAAGGTCTGCACCTCCTCCGGGTCCGAGTCTTTCCTGGCGGCCTGCGCCGCATCTTCTTGACGGCACCCCGAGGAATTTTCTGGAGATGCGTGCGGCAACCCCAGGGTTTGCGTTTTGTTGGGTTCCCCCTTTGCCTTTTGAGGGTACCCCACGTGTTGCTGGTAGGAAACCAAAAGGCCGAGCATGTGTTGGGTTTTTGCTGAGACAAACTTATATGGGACCCCGCAAGCGGTGGTGCTCCCTTTGAAAAACCATCAAAAGCCAGCCCCCAAACCACAAACCACGGGCTGAGTTTACCTTGGGGTTCCTTTGTTCCCTTGCGATATTGCGTTAGCGACCGTCTTGCAAAGAGGCCTTTGGTTCCGAAGTCGAATGCGAAAAGCAACGATTCTCCTCGATGAGAACCCGCGTTCTAATGAACCCATGAAGATGGTTTCATTTCACTGCAAAACACCTGGTCCTCGTGCCGAATGCCTTGACAACGCCTAGGCTTGTCAATGGGCTCAATCCCAAGCTCACGTGCGCGAGCAAAAGAGCTGTGACGCCTGAAAAATTCATCTGGGCAAGTTCAATGATCTGCACGGGGTGCTACCGGGCAACCCATTTTTGGACCAGAAAGACTTCGACCCAGGGGTCCTTGGGACAACCAATCGTTCAAGTCTACCTTTGGACAGTCAAAAATGGAACCCTGGTTACGGCCCTAGGCCACCTGGGAAAAAATGAGTGTTCGATTTTGGCAACGACAGAAGTTGCCAGGGCTCACACGCGTTCCCCTTTGACCTCCCCACCAAAAGGAAACTCACTTTTAAGGCTCCCAGTTGGTGGTAGTTTTGGTGGTGGTTTGGGCTTTGAATGGATGGGAAACCACCCCGGAAGACCACCAAGCCACTGGGCTGCAAACCACCAACAATTAGCGGGCAGCTGGTTTGAAGTTGGCCCAGATGTTTAAAGCTGCTCTTGGGAAAACATAGGGAACGTCACAAGTGGGCACAGCTCCTGTTCCCTCACAGCAGTCTCTCAGAAGCTGCTTGCCTCGAAAACTGTCTCATGCCTGACTGCGCGCTGATTCCTGGCCCTCCCGAGCCGGTCTTTTGTCAGGTTTATCCTTTTTGGAGTTCAGCATGCCAATCCCCAAAGTCTCAGAACGCAGGGAGGACCGGATCTGTCCTGTCTTTGGAACAGCAGTCAGACGGAAAATGAGCTATAGCTACTCAACGAGCTCCCAAAAAATACGTAGAGCCAATAAAAATACATGCATCCATCCGTGCGCTACATGGCCATGCCATCCAGCAAAGGGATATCGCACACATCCGCCATGTAGTCCACGTAGCTTCTGAGCTTCTTCGGCCACTCCAGGCCCTTCACGATGGTAAGCCGCCGCAGGGTGGGGAACAGGGTGATATCATCATAGCTCAAGCCCCCCTCGTTGACCTCGCGGAAAAGAAAGCGGAAAGGGCGGACATAAATTGCTGAAGAAACCAGTACGGACCAGGGGAATACGGCAATGTGCTGTGGCTTGGCTTCATTTGGAACCTGCCCACTCAGCAACCACTACTGGGTCTGTCAAAGCGGCATCCTCAAAGTCACCTTCGGATTGGTGGTTGAAAGGGAAAGCAACCGCCCCCATCAGCCATCAAATGAGGCTCCAAACGCGCGCCTTGTCTCGTTGGTGACCCAGGCACAACCCACTTTTCTCAGAATGCCTAAGATTTTAAGTGACCGACTGTCGATGGTGACAAAATCCCCCAAACGCACCAGTTGGGATTGGTGGTTTATCAACCATTGCTTATACTGTGAGTGGACGAATCCATGTCGCACCTTTTGGGATAGATGAAGTCCTATAAACCATGGTTGATAAACCTCCCACCAAGTGGTGCGAAATGGATTTCATTCACACGCCAAAATGAACATATTTCCATAAGAACTAATTTGCCTAATAGGTGCCTACAGCACAAACCAATATGCATATCTTAAATCCATTGATTTCAAATCCAAATCGTCTGATGTCACTGCGACCTCACACCGAGTCCATTAGCAAAGTCACACACATCTCGCTGTGGATCATCTTGTCCAGAGCCTTGAGCTTCCTGAGCGGGAGCAGGCAACCCAGAAACCCGAGAAAAATGCAGCAAAGGCCCAGTGGTTGGCACAAAACCAACCAATAAGCAACAAGTGGTTGGTCCGAATACCGGAAGGCCTGCAGGAAAATGGATCTCCAAACACAAAAAACAAAAAACACGAAGCCTATAGGATACAAAACGGGACTGACAACCATTCCCAACACGTGGGCCGCGGGTGCCGTAAGACATGCCAATTTGGTTGCGATTGCCCGGTTGCATGTACCACGGGCGCCAAAATCTGCCTACTGAATATGTCGCCCGAACCTCGGTTCGAAAAGCGATTTGTTGGGCCAAATCAACCCATGCAGGTCTGTCTCAAAGTGAGGAACCCCTTTTTTAGAGTTGGCGAGTGTCACAGGCTGACGAAACCAGAAAAGAACTTTTTTTGACGAGGAAGGCATTGACAAGTCAAATCAAGCCAACCAGCTGGAGGCTCGCAGTCCTCGAGATGCTTCTTCTTAAGTCAACCAGGGCTCCATGTTTTTGCTGCCCCAAAAAAATAATCGTGGGCGGTGGCTTCTTTTCCAACCTCCAACCTGTTTTTGGGCCCAGAAGACAAAAGGGTAAACTTCCGGGTCTGAGGTTGGAAAAGGATCCCCATTCACGGATGGAGGTCTTGGCGAGTAAGCCCTACACTCCACCATGGGAAGTGATGGGTAAACCTTCCAACGGTCAGACAAGCCCCAAGACTCGCTGGTTCGAGAGCGAGGAATGCCCTCCGTTGAAACCCCTTTTGTCGCTTCCTAGGGGATCCCAACCACCTCATTCCCAAAACCCCTCAAATGATTCTCCGAGAACCAGCAAAAAAAAAAGCCTCTCTTATTTCATCAACCTCCCTTTTGGTGCTCCCATTCAGGCCCCGGAGGGGGTGAGGGAGGTTGCTTCGACACTTTTTCTTTGCACCCAACCCCAAGGACTGCTGAGACGGCGCCGGCGCAGACTTTGCGATCCCTGATAAAATCCCACCAAAACCTTTTGCTGATCACCTCGGGGTCCTCGGAACCCACAGGGCCTCGTGTCTCAAAATCCCACGAAAAAGCACCCGGGAGAGATGAAACCCCATGTGAAGAATGGGTGATAAGCCACCAATCTCCCAGCCGGAGCTTCTTTTTGCGGATGTTGTAACCATCCACAGTGCTGTTGATGGACGACGTCCATTTCGCAAGACCCAAGAACCCCTGGAATGATTCGATTCCCCAGCGTATATACCAACAAACCTTATGGCTGCAACCATAGTTTCATTTCAGGTGGTGCGATTTCTGGATTTTGCAGCCATCCACAGAAATAATAATGGGTGATAAACCACCAATCTCCGAACTGGTGCGGATTCTTTTTGGATTTCGTCCACCCATCCACAGTATCCAGCAAACGGATTGGATGCGCTTTCTGCGGTTCCCACGTTGCTTCACCAGGCGTTCCTCTTGCAATACTCTTTTAAGACTCTGTTGCTTTCCTCGTCTCTCCACAGTACTACCCCGTGAAACCAGATAGGAACCAAACCAGGGTCCTCTTCCCAGATGGCTGGAATTTTTGCTGGACCGAAATGAGTACGGGTCAAAATTAAACCACCAGAGTTCCGCAGGTTTTGTTCCATGTCTCCATTTACGAGGGTTCCATTTTGGGTGTCTATTTTTCACCCACCGCCAAATGGAATTGCGAGGCACCCGTTGAGCTCCGCCAGCAGCTCTTCAGACCTGCCCAAAGCCTTCTCGATGCCCTCCTGGCCGGTGGTTTGACAACTTCGATCCAAAAAAACACTGCCTTGGGAAGACTTCGTCCTATATGGGTGGGTTTTTTCTTGCGGTGCCCCCCACACTGGTGGTGTTCTTTTGGTTTTCCCCTGAAAACCACCAACAAGGGGTACCATCAAAAAAAGACACACCCATATTACACTAGAGTTGTTTTTTTGTTCTAAGATGGCTTCTACCCTCAAACCCCAGGGTTCATAGGATATACAGCCAGTGTAAAGCCGCTACATAAACAATGTACACCCCGAATTTCCCTTAGGAGGGAAAGAAAGAGGGAAAGAACGAGGGAAACAGAGTGAGGGAACATAGCTGCGCCAACTTGTGAATTCCCCAGCGCTTTCAGCTAAGTTGAAACCCTTCAACATTCATATAGACCCTCAGAGCTGTGCATGGACAAAAACAACACTTCACACCTGGATGGATGAAACACTAGGAATTCTCGAAGAAACCTAGCAAATGGTGCAAAATGGACTTTCTCCATCTACAGCATCCATGAAACCGAGGAGTAGAACTCCTGACTGTGCAAGAAAGGTACCCCCGTTTTTGCTGATCCTCAAGCCTCCAAGCCTCCGAAAACAACTTGTTCCAGGTGTTTTCTCCATCAGCTGACCTATCTGCTCTCAGAGAGTCTTTGCAGCACCAAACCCGAAACCATGCCTCAAGGGCCTGAAGGACATGTTTGCCAACATGGGTCTCTCCAAGTCTCCAGCCCCGTCTCCAGAGAGTTCCACTGTTCAACCCACAGTAGCTTGTAACCATGGTTGAAAGGGGACCAACCCCCAGATTGTCCAATGGCAACCTAGCACCTGCCATGCTTAGGGCCCCCCCCCCCCCAAACAAAAAACAGAAAAACCGCCCTAGCTTAGGAAGCCCTATTGAGGGGCCCTTACAGTAACCCAGAGCCACCACCCCCATCACCCACCCCCCCACCCACCCCCCACCCCAACCCCCACCACCCCCCCCCCACCCATCACACCCCCGACCCCACCCCCCCCCAACCATCCACCACCCCTCCGCCTCCACCGGGTGGTTCTTCACCCAGGTCGCCCTCGCCGCGCGGGTGGCGAACTCGGGGTACAGGGCGCTGGCGTCCCGCGGCCGCGTGAGGCGGCGCAGCAGCTCCTTGTTCTCCTGATCCCCAAAGGCCTACTGTGGATGGAAAGGCGAAACCACTGTGGGCTTAGGCTGGTTGATTTCCCCAAAAGCGAAACCCCCTGGGTTTAAGTCTACCTTGGGGTAGTCAAAAAAAGGAACCCCAAATAGCTGCTGGTTACTCTTGGCCGGTCCACTCGAGAGATAACTCGACTATTCTTAATTTTCCCTTGACGGTTTAAACGGAATCTGCCACTATTCTAAGCCACACCACCCCATTCTGAAGAGCTAGCCCAATTATCCCCCAAAATGGATGCAACGACAATTGCCATCAAAGCAGTCCACCCAAGCAAGGCTAAAACTCAACAATTCCAATTCTCTCCCTTTGCCGACTCCCAGCAGCCCACCAGGCCTCTCCCAAGCAGGGGCGGTCAGCCTTGCCCTTCTTGTTTTGCCCACATCCATGTCATGAATCATTGCCAAGGCGACACTGACAAACATACAGCCCGTGGCTTCACGGCAAGCATTGAAGCATCCTCCTGATAGCACCGCGGGCCCCTCATCAGCCAACCCACCAAAGTGGTGCCCGCGATCCAATTTTCCACAAGCTTCCAATTCACTTCCTCATTCTTTCAATGGGGGCCCACGCAGCAGCCCACGCAGCAGTTGTCATCACTTTCGGGAGGAAAGACCGGAAATCCTAGAAAATTGGATGCTTGGAAAGAATGGGTTTTAACCGAAAATATGGCCTCATACAATACTTCCCCATTCTTTCTGGTTTTCCAATTTTCACCCAAAACAGATGCAAAAGCGAAAACAAATAACAACAGGGACACACTGATCTTTGATCGAAAGAACGATGCTGGGGGACAGAATGATGGGGTGGGGAAAGAAGGGAAATGATCATGGTTGTTGGGAAAGAACGATGGTTGGGGAAAGAACGATGGTTGGGGAAAGAACGATGGCCCTGGGGAAAGAACGATGGTTGTAGGGAAAGAACGATGCCCCTGAAAACAGAACGCTGCCAGTAAGATCGATGGCCTGCAGTGGCATGACTTTGGTAGGTCAGGGGAAGGGGTTGTTTAGTCTACTGGCCCTACCCCTAGCCCGCAGGACAACTTTCTGCATGCGTCAGTGCTCGCTGCAGAAAAAATCAAAAACTGAGCCGAAACCGGCTGGAAAGACCGATCGTTGCACTGAGTGCTCGTGTGACGAAAGAATGGGGAATCAACCCTTAGAACTATACTGGACGTATGGCCGTGGGTCAAAATCAAAATCGTACCCCCAGCGATCATCCCAATCCAACCACTAAAATAGGTTCTAAAATGGGTGGTGAATCACCTACCCCAAAATGGGATCCCACTGGTTTTGACCCACAGCCAAAGGCCTATGGATCTTAATGAGGAACCCCCTCCCAAATGGTTGATCAAAATTAAACCACCAGGGGGTCATTCACAAGTTTCGTCCATGGTTCCATAGGCTTCCATATGGGGTACCTATTTCTGACCCGAGCTTCCCCCGAAAACAAGGTGCTGGCTGTACATTTGCTTGAAGCGGAACCAAAAGGCACCAAATTTCAGCATTTTGTGGCCCCAACAAAGCAAAGATGGGCCACCCAGAGGTAAACATGGTACTTTGGGCAATGTTTGGTGGGTTGGACGGTACGGGGCCAGCTTCCGCATTTGGTTGCAAGAAGGACTGAGGTTCAAATCCCAAACCACCAATCCAAACCAGTCCCTCCTCTCCCGTTGTTGGTTGGGTTGCATGCGGTTTGTGGGGGAAGCAACCCGATGCGGAAACGGGTGTCCCCAAAATATAGGGGGGTAGAGGTGATGCTTTGCAACTGGGGCTGGTTGTTGTTATACTAGCCAACCAGAGAACGAGACCAAAGCCTAGTATATGTTTAAACAGTATGTCCGCCAGACACGTTTAAAGGTGTTCCCAGCTGTGTTAAACAAAAAAGTGTGGTGTTCGTTTTGCTTTCCCTCTAAAACCGCCTGAACAAGACACATCCATCTGGGTGTGTGTGGTTCGATTCTTTGCGGGCCTCAAAAAGGGGGGAAAAACAGCAGTCGAAGAAGGCTTCCTTTCCCCCCACTCGGGTGTAGGAGGCAAGTTACCATACTGTGGTTGGACGAAATCCAATTCGCACCAGTTGGGATTGGTTTTTCGTAAATTGTATAGGATGTCATTTATCCCAAGTGGTGCGAAATGGATTTCGTCCACCCACAGGGGATTTAACCCCAGATGTATTGGAAAACCACTTGGGACCTTTCTCCACTGACCCCCCCCCCGGTCGGGCCGAAACAAGCCAAAGGAAACCGGCGAAACATCAGGGGTAGGCTCTTTGGTTGCAGTTTCCCACCCCCAGAAAAAATGACTTTGATGGGAAAACCGTTGTGTTGTCTGGCCATCCTCCAAGGGCCTGGTAAATGCCCTGTTCATCGCCAAAACGGTCGGGCGCGCTCTGCGCAAACGCGGGATTGCTCCAAACAAGTTGGCAGATATTGGGGTGTGTCCAAATGCCAGAACTGTATGGACGTGTTCTTTTGGTGTCCATTTGAAGCAACTGAAGGGTTCCCCCAAAAAGCATACTCAGTTGGGCGCTGAACTGCCCAAACCAACACCTTGCAAGGTTCATCAAGAGGCTTCGTACAGCGGCTCAGGCTCTTGTTCCACCTTTTGGGGAGAGGCCATTTTTAAATTCCAACTGGTGGAAAACACGGGACCTGGCAGCCGAGCCTTTCCCTTAGGCCGCGTGGGCTTCGACGCGCCTCCCGCGCCTCAGCGCCTCCGGCCCCCCTCTCCTTCATCCACTGGTCGATGTCCGTGCGGTCCGCTGGCTCCTGAAGGATGGGCGTCCCCAACTGGTCGATCTTGGCGACAATGTCCAGGGACTCGCCCATGGCCTGGGGTCGTTCTGCTTCACCCGGATCTTGAAGGGATCGGGGAACCCTTGATACGAAAAGGTTTACTGCGTGCTTCTCAAAAGGGACCCTGGTGGTTGGCTTCCTTTCTTTTTGGTCTCCCCTTATCACCAACACCTAGTTCCTTTTACTTTCAACGGATGCAAAAAAAAACATGGACATAGATTCACTTGTCTTAAACAGGGGGATGCTCCAACACCGACCCGATCAGAGTTCGCTTCTGGCAAAACGGAGAGGGAAATACCCGATACAGGTCGTCTACCATTGGCTTGGTCATTTTGAGGTTTGGGGCAAGCCTACTAAAGGCAAACCCGCCAAACAAACAAAAAGAACACGTTCGGTTGCAGGAAAAGAGTGGTGTGGCTGGGGTGGTCATCTAATTCCCGCAAAAACTTCCAGTTGACCTTGAAACTAATCATTGTCCAAAAGGTGACAAGGTTTGGCAGGTAACGCCAAAAGGCAACCTTTTGCTCACTTCCCGTGTGGATTCGCCAGAAAAACCCGGAACAGAAAAACAAATACCACTCAACGGTCTTCCCAAAAGGCTTGAATTCCAGCAACGCGGGAAGTGAGCTTGCAAATTCGTTTTGCTGTACGGATCACTTGTTCTGCTCGAACAACTCGTTCGCTTCTGAGGTCCTAAGGCATATACCTCCAAGCTGCACAACAAAAAAAGCAACACGCTTGATTCTGCTCCATATTTCCTGAACCTGAAAATGTGAGATCATGGATGTTCAAACCAATGGTCAAACCAATGCACTTTAAAACCAATCAACCGGCAGAAGGAAAAAAGAAGAAGAAATAAAAAAGGGAAAAAAGAAGAAGGAAAAAAAAAAAAACGAGCGCCGGCCATTCCTCTCCGTCCATCTCCAGGATCGGCAGGACCTTCTTGCCGATCATCTTGGTAGGGGTCACCACGTCGTCGTTCATCAGGAAGCCCAACTTGTAGGGCATCCTCAGCTTGGCTGCCGGGACTTCTGGGCGAAAAGTAAGGGTCACTTGGATCAATCCGGACAAATTGAGGTCACCTGTGTCACTTGTGGCAACTTGATGTTCCAAGTTGAAGGGAGCCAGATCCAACCCAAGATCAAGGGATGAGGAGCCCTCAAAATAGGAATGGGGTCCCCTAGAAGTGTTCTTTTGGTTCCCTGCAAATACCTTATCAAAGGGAGTCTACCCATTCTGAGAGGCTCCCATGAGAGGCATTTCACAAACCCAAACCCCTGCATGAAACAAGGATACATGGGATGTATACCGATAAGTGGTGGTTTGGGGTGCTGGCATCAGACCGGTGGCACAGAGCATCAATTTGCTTTCAGACCACTCAACTTCAGGAAATCACCCAGATCCTTTGAAGAAATTTAATTTGTCTCAAAGGAGTTACTCTAGGTGCCTGTTGTCCTTCTAGCTTCCCTTTAATCCAACCCCCAAATGGGCACCAATCAAAAGGCATTCGTGAAGCCTTCCTGCAACGGACATGAGGTCCATGGACCATGACTCATGCTACCCGGCTGGCCACTGGGGGCTCGAGCCGAAGTGTTTAGAATGCGGTGTTCTGGCACTTGAAGGCCAAATTTAGTCATCATAGGGGTAAACTGCTCCACATGTTGCCCCCCTTTTTCTTACGTTTATCATCGCGCGTGTGCCACATTGGGCAACAGACACATGGGTGTCTGCTCATTTCCCTGTCGTTCCTTAAGCCCCACAACAGGCCACTGACTCCACAACGGCGTTCATATTGGATTTGAGTTTTAATGCCACCAAAAAGGAGTACCCTCAGAAAGAATTAACACCCCCATGGTTTGAACACCAAGCAGAGACCTCTTCAACCAAGTGGCCTCTTCAACCCGAAGATCATCCGCGCGCGCACGCAGAAGGGGCAGTGGTCATAGACGTACCTTGATCATGTCTACGTAAAGGGGCGATCGGGTAAGCCTGGTTGTAGCCTACTTAGAAGACTTATACCCATGGCATTTGTGGGTATAAACCAAGTGTGAGCCAAATCTTCTCAAACTCATGCCCCTTCTTTGGGGTGAATTCTGAAGGGAAGGGGACAGGAAGAGCGTTTCGTTCGGGTCGCAGACGGTGCCAGATCTCATCTGCTGATACGAAATTTTGAGCAATGTCCTAGCTGTGGCTTGTTCTCCTGATGGATGGAATGGTTGCCGCGCTCCCATCTTCATGATGTCACCGTTAAGAAGCACACAAAAGTTCCATCATGACAGCCATGCTGGCTCCTCTGGTTTACACAAGTCGCGACCAGAGCTTCAATGCTTGGCGGCGAAACTCCAGCCTCAACAGAAAACGATCAAACCTTTGACCAGACGGAGGTCTGGTGTTCTCAACAGCCGCAAAGCCTGCGGTCCATGTCCTGGTGAACATTTTGACCCATACCACCAAGCCGCTGGCAAATAACCGCCGTGCCGACTTGCATGGCAAGATTCGCGACTCAAAAGTCCGGCCCCGGGGGGAGAATCCTCAAAACTTAGATGCAAATCTTGCAAGTAAAGGCACAAAGGACTTGCAACCCAACTAAAAACCACCAACCCCCCTCTTAAACCCCCAAAAAGCAAGAACAAAACAAAAAACCTCTTAAACCTCCCCCCCAAAAAAAAACTTAACCCCCCCCCCCCAACCAACCCGCAGGCCGAAGCACAGCGTCGGCACCTCTTTGGACAGCTCCTCCTCCGTGGCGCTGCGGCCCCACTCGGTGCCCCTGCCAGCCCCCCGCGCCACCGAGGCCGCCGAGGTCTGCGCGAAGCTCCTGCGGTTGTCCACTTTCCCGTGGTTTTTCAGGGTCTTTCACGGGTTTCCCACGGTTTTACATGGTTTCCCACGGGTTTCTCACGGTTCTTTCACGGTTTGCCATGGTTGTTCTTGGTTTTTCACGGTTTTTGTTTATGGTTGTTTCATAGTTTTCTATGGTTTGGGTTTCCCACGGGTTTTCCATAACCTTGCAAAGTTTCCCACCAACGCCCCGGTACGTAGCGGCGCCCGGACCCGGCGACTTTGGTGATGATTTCTATTGGCCAGCCCCTCACAACATACGGGGACCCCAAACTTGTGGTTTTCCTTTGGCTTTGCCTTTCAACCAAAAGACAAACCCGTTCTTCCAAGGCGGGAGGAGTTCTGTTTCCCATGATAGACTTCCCCGTTGAATGGACAATTGGGAAGGAAGGTCGTACAGTCTACAATCCCTAAAAAGGCTTGATGACAGTGCGAATATCGTTGGACACAGCATATTCTGGCCCCGTATGTCCAACCCAGGACAGAAATAATCTCAGCAATTGTCATTTGTAATCGACATAAATCAACCTCATCCTTGGTAAGCTCACCATCCAACCACCATCGGTGTGTGGGAAATCGGCCTTCCCAATTTTCAATTCAAAGGGGAAGTCTATCATGGGAAACAGAACTCATCCCTCCTTGGAACAATGGGTTTGTCTCTTGGTTGGTTCAAAGAAAAAGGCAAAGGAAAACCCCAAGTTTGGGGTCCCCGTAAAAAAGCGATTTTGGACCGTGTCTTCCCATCCGACCCTTCGGCACAACCCTTTTTTGGCTCAAGTTTTGGGGACAACCCGAAATTATGGCCTACCCGCGCCTCCCACCCCTTCCCCCCCCTTCCCACCCCTGATACGGGCTTTCAAGCAAGAAGCAGTGCATACTCTTATGGCTTCCTCGCGGTTTTCGTTTCGAGGCCCATCCAACAAGGCATTGCCCAATTTGAGACACAAGCCATATGTTGAACTCCCTAGTGGGGACTTTGTGCGAAATAGATTTCGTCCACCCACAGTATGCAGGTTCCATTCTTGAGGCCAAAGAGCTTGGTTGGGTAAAACATGTAATCATAGGCGGTGTCCTTTTTATTGCTTGGTAGATGAACATTGGTAAGAACTAGATGGTTCCCCCTTCCGCCCCCCCTTCCTCCTCCTTCCTTCCCCCCCTTTCCCCCCCCCCCCTTCCCACCCCTCCCACCCCCCCATCCCCCCGACTTCGAAGCCAACCAACCCGCTGGCGCCTCGGCGCGCTCCTCAGCCCTGCGAGGCCCAGCACCCCGGCCAGGCCCAGCAGGCGCCCCAGGCGCAGCTTGGCGCGCGCCATGCGCGAGGTCGCCGAGTCGGCGAAGAAGCGGCGAGGCGACGCCGTGTGGGCCAATGGCTCCAGTCGGCGCCAGCGAAGGCTCGGTTTTTTTCATGGAAATGGACATGGGGTGTGGATGAGAGGTCGGGCGAGTCAAATCCAAAGACTTCGGACCTGAATCTCCATGGGAATAACAGCTAAAGGTGACTGCCCTTGCTCTCACAGAAAGCATGTGTTTTCATGTTCAAGGGGATTTCCTCATATCATGAAAAAGGTGGTGTTCCAGCTGTTCGTCCAAAAGAGAGAACCAAGTGGTGGGGCGCCAATCACCCTCGTTTTCGGCCGAGTTGCAATAGATCCCAGCCCGGAATGGCAGTGGATAGGGTGAAAAGTCATGAGGCGAAGTGGTAGTTTGCCACTTGCCTCTTACCCACTTGCCAGGCAACTTAATCACTTGCCAAGCCATGGTTTGATCCACAGTGGCTTGGTTCAAGGAGAGCTGAGGGAAGCCTGGCAGATGTCCAAGCCCTGAGTGGTTGCCTTTTTTCTGGTCGCTGGTCCCCTTCGATCCCCTTCGATCCCTTGCTAAAAGTCGACAACTTTTAGTGGTTTAGTGGAAGCTACCAAAAAGCCAAGATTTCTGGGAACCGCCAAATTTTGACACATCCGGCCGCCAAGAACACTCTCCCTTGGCCGGCTCCAAGCCTCCCCTCTCCCCAAGGCCTGATGACTTCCACGTGCGTTTTCGTTGAAAACAACCAGGGAGCCCAAAAGACTATGGCTCCCCTCTCCTGCCCACTCTGCTCCCCCCTTCCCCAACATCCAGCCCCAGCGCCTTGACCACAACTCGCCGATCTCTGTCCACTTTGCCCAGGAGCAGCAGGTTGCTGGCGTCCCCCTAGCTCCAATCCATCTGACCAACATGAAACGGAGGGCAGTTCCGGTTTGAACCGCATGTGACAAACACCGTCGTGGATTGCAAGATCAAACCCAAGTGCGTGATGGACAAAGCTTTTGGAAGAATCCGCAGGCCCTCGGCCATGAGGCCCCTTGGTAAGGGAGGGGTCTCTGTCAAAATCGGCGAATCAAAGTGGCCCTTTCACAGGACGGACATCCCTTGGAACGCCCGGGTTTGTTTCGAACCAAACCACCTCCGCAGATGAATCTGGAAACCGCAAGTCCACCAAAATCCTCTCCAACGCCCTCTCCAAGACTGAATCAGCTTCTCTCTTTCTTTCTTCATGATCATTTCTGGCAACTCCAAAACAACACTGAATCCACGGTCTCTTTCTTTCTGGATGATCATTTCTGGCAACCCCACACACTGAAACCACGTCCATCTGTCAACCCAAACTGCCCCCAAAACACATCGACCCCTGGCGGATCGATCCGCTTGGATCCAAGGAGCGCCGCCCCGGCGGCCGTCGTACAAGACCCGCAGGGCGCCCTCGAAGGCAGAGTTAAGGGGCTCCTAGGGGTACCATGTCCATCCTAGTTTTGATAGAAAAATATGTTTCTTTTTTTTTAGCTAAAAATAAACATTCTTGACATGGGCATTCCATGTCCATTTCCACTTCAAGGGGCAGGGTACCTTCCACGTCCATTTCCGGGGATCGATCCTTGGAAAATCTCTGGACACCCAGGTTCTCTTTCCAGGATAGAAAATATGCGGGGAAAACGGCTGGTGTTTGGAAAGAAGGATGGTTGAAAAGAATGGAAAAGGAATCAAGGCCTACAACACTACATGTTAGCTTATACCTTAGACCGGTGAATGGCGGAAGCTTAAATCGCCAACATCCAACAAGACATGTCAGACAGTGTCAGCCTGTCATGAAAAGGTGTCAAAAGGTGGCTGTCGAAAGCAGTCCAGCGACCCTGGCAGAAAAAGGGAACTCAAGTTTTGGGGTTGACCGTATGCATCAAGCAACAAAAATTGGCCGAAGGGCGCCATTGAACAACCGGGAATACCATCCAGGTGCTCCCAAATGATGGAGACTGCACGCTTCCCTGGAAGGGCTCCAGGACCATCCTTCTGGCAAGCCCCAGTGAGATTTCGGCGGTGTCAAATGACAACGGCACTACGCATAACCTCCAAAATGGTGTCGGTGTTCATTTGGGTTTCCTTTAAAACCACCAAAAAAGGGCCACCCTCACCAAAAAGACACACCCACACGAGTGTCAAACAGGTTACCCTCAGATTGGTTCGGGCCCCTTTTGCCATCTGACTGTGCAAAACCAAGAAACATGATGCGCACACACCGCCCTATTTGAAGCATGATGTTTCCGAGAGTGCCGAAAGGCCAAGGTCCTTTACATCCCAAAATCGCATGAGTCCTGGACAATGTGCTCCGTTTTTGCTGTCGCCTCGCTTCGCGATATCGGACAAGTCAAAACCAAAGCCGTAGTCCTCAACACTGACGCTGAGGCGGAACGTTGCAGGGATGTAGCTTCACTCAATTTGCCAGCGACTTCTCACTTCAGGCAGATAAAATGCTCTTCCGGCCAGGTCCGGGTCTTGGTCAGAGAGTGGGTATCAAGCCGGGTCCCTTGAACTGACATTCTCACTTTTTTTTGGTTTAAGGCCCCTAATGCAATGCAAGGAACCCCAGATCCGTGTATGCATGTGTCACAAGAGGCAGACCCCAACACATGGTTGTCGTCCCTTTGCTGTCCCTTAAACACATACATATATACTGACACATATACAAGTTACTTATATATCTATATATATATATATCTATATATATATATGTACACTTATTCATATTATGTATTTACTTATATATTTATATATATATATATATGTACATATATGTTTCTATATGTGTATCTGTCAGCCCTGCCTTCAGGTTGAAGCTCCCGCTCAGCGAGAAGGAGGGCGCAGTCTCACAGAAGGGGCAGACCTGGCACTCGGAAGCCTCTGGGCTCGAGGCGGAGGCTGCTTCTGCTGTTGGTGTTCTCTTTTTTTGGTTTTTGTGGGGGGGGGGGGTCAGGGAAACCAGACGGAAAACCAGAGTCGTTGTTCCGTGTGTGTGTTTTTGCTCTTGCCTTTTTTTTGGGGGGGGGTGCGAATCACTATTTGGCACATTCCCGGTCGAACTTTCGAAGACTGTGGATAGACAAAAACCTGCAATCAACTGCATGAGATGCCCGAGTGTGTGTGTGTATGCATTTTTGAGACCCTCTCTCGCCAACAGGAAGGACCACCCACCCACCCTCCCAACGCCTGTTGGTTTAGTCAAGTTTCCTTTGGAGATAACACGGTGCCAACATGCTATATAAGGCTTCATTGATTCAGAGCATTTCCCCCGGGGTCCATCGGCCAATCCTGGGCCCTTCGGTGCTGGCTTCACCAGCTGGGGGTGAAACCCTATGGGATAAGCCACCAACCAACTGGTGCCCCCGAACAAACATCTAGAAAGCACCATGTTGGGCAGGCCAAGGCTGACACAAAGATCGCGTCTGGAAAAGGCCAGGCATATCATGGGCAGCTGAAAGTTACTCAGAATGTAAAGAGTTGCTGTGCTAGAAAACATGGGGCTGGGTCCAAATGGGTGTGGCTCAGGATTCAACTGCTGCGGTTACACGGGTTTTCGTCTTTGTTCCATATACCAGGGGTACCATTTTTTGAGGCACAGCCAAGTGGTTGCTATTGGCAGCAAGCCAAAACCGCCCTGGATTCTGAGTTGTACCCAGCTGGCACGAGCAAGCCCATATCCAGTACGGAATCCAATAACCCGTGACGTGGCATGCACCCACAAAAGCGGGCTCTTCTATTGGCGGTCGCAGTGCCACCTGCAAGCCTTCAACTGCTTCCAAACTTCCCAAAAACTCCAACAAACCTTCAGGCACGAAAGGGAGCCTTGGCAGTGAGTGACAAAGGCGTGCAGCAGGAGCGACATAGTACCTGGCGCCACCACTCAAGGCGCCTCGACGCTGCCAATTTGTACCAAAGGAGGGTGTTGACGCAGTACCCTCCCACCCGCAAACATGGAAGTTGACAATAGGTTGCTTTGAGAGGAAATTGATCTTCCAGGTACCTTCCCACGAATGCTATGTTAGTACACGTGACAACAAGGTCTTGGAACTTACCATCCGCAATCCAACTCGAATTCTCGACCCTTCCCTTTTTCCACATGCCGATTTGTGAATCCTGCAAGTCACAGGGTTGGCCCTACAGGAAAGGTGGCTGTGGCCGTTCATGTTTCCCCACATCAGCGCCCAAGCCCAGTCTTGCCTTCTGTGGCGTCCCTTACGGCACATCTGGGCTTGTCCTAAACTGGGTGCTTCGCTGTTTTGGAGTCGGTACCCGTTTGGGGGGTTGCTTGAAAGGGGGAACCACCATTCCCAGCTGTCCCGGAACTCTGAAAAAAGACGAGTCTAAATGCCGCATTGCCTTTTCTATCCAAGGGGCAGTGGTTTCGGGGCAGTGGAAATCCTCGAAGCGACAGCTACTCGGCCATGGGGCATCGGTTTGGGGCTCAGCCCAGGTTCAAGGAAGAATCAGGGCAAGGAATGTGGGCCAATGTCGCCGGGGGGAACCGTCTTGTGCTCACTGCTTGTGTTTGCTTTGCTTCATCTCCGTCCATCCATCCCTTCTGTCTCTCTGGCTCGGTCCAGTGGTTTGGATTTGGATTTGGTTTCGGGCCCCTGGTTCTTGTGGTTTGGCTAAATGGGGTAAACCACTGCCATTTCACCCACCAAACCAAACGACTCGGCTTCAAACCACCATATGGATGTGTTGTTGTTTTTTCTTGTTGGTGCTCTGCAGTGAACGAGGGATTCACCCTTCTAAACCATCTCTTGTGATTTCTTTTATTTGGGAATCCCCAAACGGTTCATTCCCACATTCCCCACCTATCGCACCATGTTTCCACCAATTGGGTTTATATATTAATCTTTCTTTGAGAGAGCACCCCTGGGTTTGTCCGTGTTCTTGGAAGAAAAAAATCCCCCGCAGCGCAGCCGCCCCATCGATTTCGACATCGATCCGATTCGCCGGTCGAACGCCCCGCCTCGGCTTTCTGCACGTGCCGCTCCGCGTTGATCTCCCGCAGAGAGCCGTTGGATGAGGCCTG